TAAGAAATAGCACAAGATGAACTTTGTTCTCATTTCAGATTATAATCATGTAGTTCCTTTCAGATGTCACACTTGGATGATTCTAGAGTATGGTGAATAAAATGAGAAGAATGTTTGTTTTTACTCCTCTCAATATGGAGAATATTCAATTAGAGTGGTGAACTTTCTCTTTGAAGCTGGACATTCTTGAGTAAAGGAAAATTGGAGGGAGGCGAAGCAGCTCCATACAGCAATGTACTTTCAAAGGTCACTCTTGCTACGCTGCCTACGCGAGCTGAGCCATTCCAGTCATTTCCTACTCAGAGGAAATGGTGGGATATTTACATCCTGTGGGCTGTCAGCTGCAGAAAACTTCATCTCAGTACTCACCAAGACTCACAGGGTGGGTTCATCTCATATATTCAGGCACATGTAGAACATGAGGCACAGGAGGTCTTGGTGAAGTTCCAGAAGTGCCCTTCTGAAAGCAACTGACCTGTTTTCCAGGGTTTCCACACATCTTTAAAATCTTCCAGTTTGTTTTGTTTTTTTTTTAATGAAAGATCACACCATCTTGAATGACAGATAGGTGAGTATCCAAAAAGGTTTTCTGAAGCCTTCTAGTTAAGAGGCCTAATTTCAAAACTCCACATGAGCTTCTTTTGCTCGTAAAGATTTCCAAACCATCACTCCGATGGTTCGGTTATGATGACCTGAGATAGTTTGTTTTTCAAACACTACCACACTCCTGTCTTTGTAGAAATGTGTTACTCTGAGTTGCTATTACTAGCAATGATATTAAATACTTTGGATGGAAGAAAAGGGACCAAAGAGAAAGGGACCTTTTCACCACCCACTAGAACACCAATTTTATATTTATTATGGGTATTGACTTCAAGAACGTGGAGTCTTTTTTATTAGCTCACAGTAATAATATATTCTCTATTTTGCTTAAGGTGAACAATGATATTCAGACAGGAAGAATTACTAACGAAGAAAAGATAAAGCTTTAAATTATAAAAATGACTTGATAGTTCCTCTCTGTAATACATTTTAGGTCCAGAAGGGACCATTAAGTTCACCTATATGCCAAGGATTTTTACACTGTACTTTTTGATATATGGGATCTCAAGTAACATACCGTTTCTTTTGACCCTTGCTCTTGAGTGCTATCTCTGATGGATTTTTATAAACTGCATATTGAAATATTCACTCGCTTAGGGGCCTGCTCACAAACTGAAAGAGATTAGGAAAGCATAATTTCCTTTCAGAAGAGCAGGGGTTTTTTTTAGGATAAAAGTTTTGCTGAGTTCTTGTAACAATTTCAGTGAAGTCAGCATAAAGTTTATCAGGCTGCAATACCTTTAATGTGTTGATTCGAAAAGATTGGTACCAATTTTAATGCTAATTCTGGATTTAAAGGTTGGAATAGAACTGAATATGTCTGGGCATTTAGCAAGAAAACTTATAGAAGTTATACCATTTAAAGGCTCTCCATAACTTTACCCACTGCTGTTTAGGACTAGACAGACACCATCATGAGAAGAACTCCCAACCTCAACGGCCTATTTCTACAGATCACTATCACAAATTAAAACATATCACAAATAAGGAGAGTACTGATCTTGTCAAGAATCAGATTAAATTCTGGGTATGTTGAATAAAAAAGGATAATGAAGAGAAAGGAAGCTAAACCATTCCTGCATTTGTTCGAGTGTGTGGATGACCTGGGGAGTCCCTGTGGCAGCAGATGAATTGTCCCCTCCCACAGCTAAGGGATTAAAATCTTCATTCTTTATGCTCGTTAAACGATGGCTGAGGTGACCCCTAAGAGAATGAGGGTACCAGGAACCATGTGGAGTTGTTGTGCTGCTGTCATGGTTTAACCCCAGCCAGCAACTCAGCCCCACGCAACCACTCACTCGCTCTCCTGGGTGGGAGGGAGAGGATTAGGAGAGTGAAAGTGAGAAAACTTGTAGGATGAGATAAAGACAGTTTAACAGGGAAAGAAAAAGCCGTGCACACAAGCAAAGCCAAACAAGGAATTGATTCCCCACTTCCCATGGGCAGGCAGGTGTTCAGCCATACCCAGGAAAACCGTGACAGTGACTTTCCATCACACGTAACAGTGACTTGGGAATGCTCAGTGATGGCATTTGTCTTCCCACTTTCTTCTACCCCAGCTTTACGTGCTGAGCATGACACCACATGGTCTGGAATATCCCTTGGGATCAACTGTTCTGGCTGTGTCCCTTCCCAACTCCTTGTGCACCCCCGGCACCCTCGCTGGTGGGGTGAGGAGCAGAAAAGCCCTTGGCTCTGTGTAAACACTGCTCAGCAATAACAAACACATCCCTGAGGTATCCATGCTGTTCCTAGCACAAATCCAAAGCACAGCCCCATACCAGCTACTGTGAAGAGAATTAAGTCTACCCCAGCCAAAACCAGCACAACTGCCTTGAACAGTCTCTCCCCAAAGCCACCTTTATAGCAACACATCAGTAACTTCACTTTTGAAATATATTTATCCACCGCTTTTGTAAAATGTGCCCTAAGAATTTTTGTTTTCCAAAGGGATAAGAAAATCATTTTTTACACATCAACAAACAAGCTGAGATAAAGCTTTTTCTGTTAAGATGAGGAGTATGCTTTTTTGTGGGGGTAAAAAGCTGGAGGTGCATAAAAGCCATTTAATTAGTAATCAACAATGATCTGTCAGTCAGAGTTACTGTAATTCATGAACTGTTAAGTCAAAGCAAAAATGGCAAGTAATTAGACTGTATCCATTAGAGCTTCACTAGCACACACTGATACAGCCAGGGTTTCAATCCGAGGGAGAAATGGAAGTGTGAAACTCCTTAATGTATTCTGCTTTTTAATTAGCAATCAGTGCTGATTTGTCAGCCATACCAACTCTAATGAACAAGCCATTGAAACACAGAAAAAAGAGGCACATTTTCAAAATCATTTGTGCTTATATTTACATTCCCTCCAGGCTGAAACATTGGAGGAACTACTGAAATACCATCTTTGCCATCACAAAGTATCAGAAAGCATGTAGGAGCTCACAATCCAACACAGCCAATGCACCACTGATGGTTTGGGTGAAGACACAAGTTGAGTATTTAGGAGAGGCAACTGGCATCTCCAAACACTGACAAATAAACATTACCTTTGTTAACTGCACACAACCCAAAATCTCCAAGAGCTCAGGTAGCACTATTTATATTCCAGTCAAGCCCATTTTAAAGAATCCATTAATAAATTGATAGTGTCTTACCAGGCTGCTGTGCTTTCCTCAGTCTCTAGGTGGAGAAGGAGGTGAGGGAAGAGAAGTGCATAAAGTCCTCCTTTATCTGATCTTCACAGGCACCTGGGAAACCTGAGCAGGTGAAGCAGAACACAAGCTGCTTCTGGGCTTTGGTAGGCACAGGGTTTTACTTCCCCCAAAACAGGATGGGATCTACAGTGCTCCTGGGAAGCTGAGCAGCAAAGCTGGGCTCTCCAGCATTAGGCCAAGAGCCTCTTTCTTCCTCAACCCTCAACGAAACTGAGGTGCTGGGGGGAAGAGAGATGATGGGAAGTAAAGATTTTCTCCTCTTGTTATCCACGGTAATATAAAGATCAGAACTTTAATTGCTCAGTTTCACCAATATAAAGTATCTGCACTCTGCCTCCCTATGTAGGGTAAAAGTTAAAGGCTGCTTCACTTACCTAAGTACTATTTTTTTATAGAGAGAGAAATACACATATGTATTTTTATATAGAATAACTAGCTTCAAAAGCAGAGGGTAGGTCCCACTGTAGTCAGGCTCTGTACTTGAAGTCAGTGTATGGATCAGCTGATAAAGGCACCAACACAGCTTAAACTAATTACAATTTGCAGGTAGGGTGGTAATTGTGCTTCTAACTGCCTAAATTAGGCAAACAAATGCCTGGTTACCTTTGTGTCGAGGCTGACAGGGTACCCCGTGCCAGCCGAAAATTCAGCCCTAAATAGTGGCAATGTTCTCATTGAAAAATGACTTTTGTTTGCCTAACATCTGACAGTGTTACATCTATTTCACTAGATGTTTAATTAGTTTGTTTTCATGGTGTTCCCATTTCCATGTCAGCTTTCCTTAGTGGTGGGAGCAAGCAGGTTTCTGGCTCTGTGCTTAAAACCGGTCCCAAGGCAAAGGATGTGGCATCAGTTTGCCTTCACGCTTCCAACGTCAGCTGCGTGGAGCACTCAGCCAACATTTTCAGCTTTCAACAGCTTTTGTGCTTTTAAAGTACATTCTAGCTGGCCCCTGCTTTGTCTCTGATGGCTGGCTTTCAGAGCTTGTAAACATCCGTCTTGCAGTGGAGTTTTCAGTTTCTATTTTTGAAACAGCAACTTATTTTTCTGCAAAACACAGGTCAAGACGTCCTACTGAATCTGCAGCAGATTCGCAAACAGGTGCTTTCAAGCAGCTGTAAACTCTCCACCTTTTCTCTTCGAACAAAAACCTACAGAAGATTAATTATGTTAGGCCAGAAATGCTTTAATAGTTTGTCATGAGGGTATGTTTATGAATTCTAGGTATAGGTTTGTGGATGGCTCCAACCTGTTTCTTCCAGTCTCTTGGCCAACTGCTGGTTCTTGAATATCTCAGAGGATTCTTCTAATTTTTTTAAGCAAGCAAACAAGTTATTGCTTCCTTATACACCACTCCACCAAACACCCACCCAACAGAAGACCCTTTCCTTTGACAGTTGCTCTTCAATTACAAGAGGCACCAACCTGCAGCAATGGTTAAGAGTAAGGATTCTTGTAGCTATGAGCACAGCTCACTGAACTGTTGGATGCAGTACCACCCACAAGAGGTTGTGTTTTAAATAAAGACAATCTTTTGACCTCCTCTTTCAAAATTCCATTCTTTCTGAACGAAAACAATTCCCCATGCTGAACCTGTGCTGGGTGACTCTGTAGCACAGAGGTAAGTGAACAAGACGTTATTCAAAAAAATACTGAAAAAAGCAGAAATCAAGGACTGCTGTTGATTTTTAGCATAGTATTTATTGAATAGCTTATTTTCTAGACACTTTATCATGTGTCAGTGCATATTTAGCTCAGGTGCTTATTTTGAGTGAATAAGGACAAAAAAACCCCCATGGATACACATATCCAGGGGAGAAATGTGAATATATTAAGAAAAACAAAATAAAAAAGACTCAGGCCTACCAAGTGGTATACTTTATTAGGAATAGCTATATAGATAATCAGATGCTTTGCTTTTTTTTTCCATGTAAAAAAAGTAAACTTTGAGAAAAGCCTGTTTAGCAAAGCCAGAAGCAGTGTTATTTTAAACAGTTTTATTTACATTGCTTAGACTGGCAAAGATATAAAAAACAGTGCAGTCTGACACATTCAGAAGCATCACTAGTTACATATAGATACAAGACAAAACACAGGTGGTTAAAAAGCAACCAGAAGCTGTGAACTCCTGCTAATACCGACAGTTGAACTGTTAATGAAATGCAGAAATATACATATTTAGATAGTTCTTGGGATAGCATTGCATTGTACAAACTGTTCAGAGATGAAAAAGGTGAACATACACTTTTGAAGGAAGACATAAATACAGGAGAAAGCCAGGTAAAAGCCTTAGGAGTATTACACCTGAAATCTGACACACCAGAATTGGACCCTCAAGTTACAATGTCACACCAATAATCCCATGCATTAAATTATGATTCATCAACCAACTATGGGGAAGGTGTGGAGCTTGGGGGTTTGGTTTTTTAACAGCCCTAGTATAAGGGAGTGTAATTCTTTTCCTCAGATTTCTACTTCAAAGCAATTAAAAAGAATTCAGTTAATCATTTTTGGCGGTCAAAGCTCCTCATTGCCTTTAAACCTCCTGTTCATATCACTGTGGTACAGTGAGGCTGCAGGAGACCATAATCACAGAACTCAATTCTATTTAATTATAAACAACTACATTTATAAAATATCTGGAATAAGCAGCTGTACAACAGGTTAACTGTCATACTTGAAAGGTCAGGTACTTCATAATGCATCTCCATTTAAGAAATCCACAATTCAAATATTAGAGTGCTCTGCCAATTGATGAAGTTAGGCAAGCATTAAGAGTCATCCAAACTAGCAGTAAATTATGTGATCATCATCTTCATTTCAAGATCTGACAAACCAGTTTATTGCCTAGAGGGGACAATTTCCACTGATGAAAGTGTTTCAGTTATGTTGGTGAGAAAATAAATTTGTGCAAGGGAACACTGAGTTTAAATGAAGGCCAAGTCACTTATTCCACTGATCAGCTGATCTGCTTCAGTACAACTAAAAACCCCTTGTGATTAACTTAGTGTTATCTAACATTTTGCTAATCATGGCTAAGTGCTAATGACTAAGGTACCATTAATGTCAGTAACAGGTCAGTGACCAGCCAGCTGCTTGTCAGTCACTTCCACACAGCAGTGTCTTTTCAACCTGCTTCATATCAAGTGGGTTGTTGATCGGCTTAATGTGCGACTCCTCCTTTCAAAAATTGAGGGAAGGCTGACCAAGGAAGGAGAAGGAATACCCTGTTGGAGAGGAAAAAAAAAAAGTTACTAATCATTTATTAGCCAATGTCAATAGTGCAGCAGTCATTTCTCAGCCTTGATACATCATACAAGGAATATGTGAGTGCAGAAGACCTTAAAGATCGGCAGCTTTTGAATTTAACGATTCAGCATTTCTAGACTTAGAAAAGTTGAACACGTTTTAAAAACTGTGAAAGACAGACTTTTTCCTTGTTATCAGCCTTGAGAGATTTGGAATGCAAGAACATGTTTTTGAAGAGTAGCTGTTAACTAAGTATTAGCATACATCCTGCATCAATCTTTTCACAATAATAATCTCCCTCCAAATTGAAGGCAAGATACATTATGATAATCTCTTAGAGAAAGAGAGCTCCCCTTAGATCCTACAACTTTCTGTATTATCATCAGCTCTGAGCCCCAGATGAGATGCTGAACACACGTCTTCTTGGCTGCAGAAGGCAATAGATATCACAAAGATTTGTCAAAGCTTGCTTTAGCTATGCCTGGATGGGCACATACCAGGCAAAAAGCTGACTTTCCTGATGCTGGGAGAATAAGCTGCTTCTGACACTTAAAATTACAGTGAAACCAACACATCAATATGTAGCACTAAAAGTGCTTTGGATTAGCTGAGATTTAATATTCTTATCACATTAGACCTCAAGATACTTCCACAAGCAATGCTCTGTTGCTCTTTACAGCACAGCCAAGCTTTTCAGCATATCAACAGGTCACAGTAGTTAGGCAGCTCGTGCCCTTGCGTGCTTCAAGAATCTTTTAAATAGGGATATTTGGGACAGGTAAGGATATACCACTTCACTATGAGCAAGTCTGATGCCTATTTATGGCATGTCTTCTATTTGCACTCCTAGGGAATATTTGAAAATAAGATCCTAAACTCCTCTTTATAGAACAGCTCTTATTAGACTCTCAAGTATTTTATACCAGATATCTTTTCTATTTATAGATAAGGCTTTTACCACAGGTAAAATGAGCTGCTCAAGACTTCCCTGCAACCAAGTTAAAGTCCTCAGAACTCTGGCTAATGAACTACACTGCAACTTGGACAACTGAACCTGAAAGAGTAATTCAATTGTAGATAAATTAAAAAACAAACAAAAAACCCCCACAAAAATAGATTTAAAAGGATTTGTGAAAGAATAAAGTTTACACCCAGAACCAAAAAGAGAATTACACCAAGTGTGAGCGTTGACTCCAACCATGTGCATTAGGACGTGTCAGAGAAGAGCCCAACACCATTTAAAGCACCCTGTGGCTTCCAGAGTTCTACAACTGTACCGTGCTCTCTTAATTTAGAGGAATCAAGATCTCTTGCTCACTTCAGTCAGGATCTGACGTACACAATTTTTCAGCACCATACTGGTTATTATCTCCAGCATCAGCACAAGTGGTAGTAATAATGGGGATAGGACATGGTCTGTCCAAGGCATGGCCATTTAAGCTCTCCAAGTTGGAAGAGGCTTTTTCTTGTGCAGCATTTGAAAGATGAATATTTGGAGAGCCAGGACACAGCACAGGTCGAGGCTTGGAATTTTGAGAGCTCCAAACAACAGAATTGGAGCGATGAACATGAACAGCACATTTGACAGATCCATTTAGGCTGCACGTAGAAGGTGAACGAGCAATCTACAATTAGGAAGAGGTTCAAGGGTTAGTCCAAACAAGAAAAATAACAAGCATCCAACCTTTATTGATATTTTTACTCTATAGTTCTTTCTACACCAAAAAATTTCCACGTAAGCACAGGCCAGGATTTAATTTAAATAAAACAATGTCTGAATAACAGCTTTGACTCTTTTAATAAACTCAGACAGGTTTCCTGCAGTTTTAGTTTCTTACTCAACAACTGCATTGGTATTCCAACTTGAGGGGCTGGAATCCAAACCCCTTGTCCCCTCAATCTTATCATTCAACCAAAAAGGCTTTATCCAAGTTCAGTGGTGTGTGGGATTGGTTAAAAAAAAAACACAACACATGACCTGCTGCCAAGCTGCAGCTTAATACCACAAAGGTCCAAGAACTCTGGGAATAAACTGGAACAGGAACATAGTTTTACTGCTGTAAGTTTCTATAATTTTGCGGGAAAGAAGTATTTTTGTCTAGGGTAGACACACACAAAGATAAAAGTACAATATTTGCAAATTCATAAGAACAGATACAGTGCTGTATCAAAATGAAGACAATTAGAATGCAAAAACAATTGTTGGCATAATCATAATAAAAAGAGAAAAATCTCTCTCCAGAGAACTGGGCTATAGCCCCACTGGTGGTTTTCTTTATTTCCTCTAAAGCAAGGGAGTCCACTGTGATCATTCCTCCCTTATTAATTCCTATTTTCTCATGTGAGGGAGCAGGGCAATATCTTTATGTTGTACAATTTAATGGACACTCAAACATACTGAATTATCTCAATATTAAGGTATTGACATATCAGGCAGTAGTAGAAAGATGAACAGGATTTCCCTTTCTTGACCCCTCATCCTACAAACTACAAAGTAGGAGTTTACTCATCAGATTTACTCAAACACTAAAATAAAAGCAAAGATGATGAAAAAGTCCTCCACATCTAGTCTGCTTTAATAGATTATACTGGAAAATTGAGTTTGGCCTAATGTAGCAGAAGAAAGCTGCAACAGGTAGCCAGGCATAGCGGAAGAGTTGCATCATGTAGAGCAATATATTATTTTACCAAGTTTTCTTAAATATATATAAGGAGATAATTCCCTTGACTTTTTAAAAACTTGCACACTGCAGCATCTGTATTTCTCTACCCTTACTTTCCAGTTGTTTGGTTTTTTGAGTTTGTTGTTTGTTGTTTTTTTTTTCACACGATGTCAGTCATCTCACTATTTTGATTGAAACGTTCAACGTGTTATTCTGGGTTGTACACCACATTTTACACAGTGTTCAAAATCAAAAGCATGAACCAACATAAGACACTGGGTTGGAACTCTCTCACTCTCAGGAGAGGAAACATATTCCATCCCTGGCAAAAGAGATTGGTGGGGTTTTTCAACTTAATTATACGTGGCTACTCCCAGTTTCTAGTCCATGCAGTAGAGTTTTCTGCCTTTTCAGCATGTAAGGCTTCTCATTAAAGAGCTCTTGAAAATAAAACATCTACGAATGTAAAGTTAATTTTAACTTTTTTTTCCCCCACTGTGGATCTTGAAGTTGTTCAAGGAAGATCAGCACCAGACATTAAATACCTGTGATCTTAAAAAGGTGACTTCTTTGGCCTGCGCAGCCAAGTCACTCACCGCTAACGACGCCGTGCTCGTCAGGCGGCTGCCGATGTAACCCTCGTTTGCTGAGCTGGGGCTCCTTCCCTCTGTGGCGCTGTGGGACATCAAAGCCCTTCGGAGAGCTCGCTTCGGTGTTTTTGAGAAGGAGAACGCTCTTGTAACCTGAGGAGTTTGACAAGCAGTTACACACTGACCAAAAGCAGGCTGTATTGACTACTACCACACAGGCTACTAATTGAATCTTGACCATCCACAGGATGTGTATCAAACGTTAATATGACTGTATCACAGCTACCAAACACACACACCCTAAGTGGTCTGGCTTTGAAAGGCTCCACATCATCCTTGCTCTTCTCACTCTGTCCAAATATGAGAACATGGTAGGGGGACAGTAGGGCAGAGATTCAGGGAGAAGTCAAAATAAGATCTAGTCAGCTAGGCTTCCCCACATCCCTTGGTCCTGCAAAGTCAGGCGCCCCTCCTTCAAGTTGCTCTCAATTTTGTATTTTTTTAAAAAAGATTTGAAGTATTAAACAGAATAAGTTCCACAACGGACTCAAAAATGACTACATAATACTTATGACTGTAATACTTAAGACTATATACAGATATTCCAAAACTTTAAACACTTCTCACCTCCTTTCTTTAAGGAGCTTATACTTAAGAATTTTAGTTCAGATTAAGTTTTTCGTGTCACTACTGTAAGTACTACAAAACACTTGAAATAGGAATACTAGCACAAGTCTCTGACTAATATGGCTTTATAGTATCCATCTGTATAGTATCTTACCTTTTTGGATGTTTTCTTTATCGCCCTGGATGCTCTGCTCAAAGTACTGTCCATATCTTTAGTATTTACTTCAACTGAGTCAGGGTCAGCAGTGTAAATGAGATTTTCCTGTAGATAAAAACAGTCTTAATGGTCAAACATCAGCATTTGTCAAAATATAATTTTCCAGTTCATTAGATCAGATTTAGAAGTTTTAATTGCCATATTCCTCCATATTTAACTTTTCATATACAGTTCAGCAACTATCTGTCTTCAAGACATTTCATTAGATAAACTGCTGGTGCAATCAGTTTGGGAAACCACTTCATAAGTAGTTTTACATTTAGTTTGTCTGATTCAGTTTCAAGTCCAGGGCTGATCAAACTAAAGGCAGTAGCAGTTCTGGAGCATCCCTAGGGAGCTTACAAGATAAACACCACTTTGTTTCACTGACACATCCAGCACACTTCTGAAGTGAAATCTTGATAGCTCCAGCTGTCAAACATTAAGTCTTTCAGCTTAAGGGCAATACATGCTGCAGAATAGCCAGAAGTTTTGGAGTTTTTTTCATGCCTCATTCCTAAACTCCAGCATGTGCAAAGCAATCTTTGGGTACCTACTTCCAAAACTTGGGGGGCAGGGGAAGCACACATGGGAGTGGGAGGTTGCTGGGGTGATTTTTTTTGCTGTTTTGTGTCTATAGTTTGAGAAAACATAGTTTACATAAAATTTCAAAAGGACCCCAGACAACAGCTGTGTGGTTATTCCCAGTGTCTAAAAAAAGAGTAGTCAAAGCCTTTGCTGCCACCAGGTGGCAAAGTCAATGTTATTTCACTCTCACATGATGCTATAGAACTTTTCAAAACCAGGCAAAAGTGTTTAAATTGAAGCTCAGTTTGACATTGAAATCAGCAAGAAAGTATTATATAGCTGGCACAAAGCAGTAGTTACAGAAATTATAACTAATGGATTCAGCATAGTAGGTTACAATTTCTCAGCATATGATTCTGAATGTCTTAGGGAATGATACATTTATTATATAAAGGTTTCATTTCTATTAAAAATCCAAGTTACATCTAACACAAGAGACTGAAGGCTGGCAACAAACAGATTAAAGTAAATTAACTCTTTAAAATCAGTACTTTCACTACTCAGTACCTAAAAAGGAAGGAAAACCACAAAGCCATGTCTCTTATACCTAAGTCCCTAGATCACAAGACAAACAAAATAAAACTCAGATGCTGTTTTCATTACTTAGTTACCTTTCCTGCAACAAGAATGTCTTTAAAAATCACAACCAAATATTGTACTGTAAGAGTACACTCCAGAACATAAACCATTTCTAGTTTAAGCCAAGTAGTTTCAGCTATATGTACTGCACACATTTTCAGCAAATTTAGATGACTGATATGCATAGACTTTTACATAATTAAAACATCAGCTGGAAGCCTCTTGCCCTAATTGGCGAGGATCTTCTCTTCAAATCAGTGGTTTTCTGACTGTGGAAAGCCCACACATTAAACTTCTAAAAATGTGAGGAGGCCAGTGTCTCCTTTATTTCATTGTTTTCTTTATTTCCATGCTTTAAGGTTGCAGGTTTTTGTCTATAGGAGGGAGATGCTTCGTGTCTCTTTATATTACAGTGCTCACACAGATAAGGTGTAGAACAAAGAACTCAACCTAACTCACAGTTAAACCAAACCAAATGATTCATAATGCTGGGATTGTTAACTGAAACATAGCTGTGATAGAAGCAAGCTGAATACAACTCATTAGATCTACAGTGTAGAGTTTAAATTATTTATAATTAATTTGTGATGGTGAAAGGGTGTGATTCTTGATTGTTAAGTACTTACTAGCTCCTGCAGAAACTAACTTTCAGGCTGTTATTCCTTATCCACCTTTTAACTACTCAACTGCAGACATGCTAAGGTTTTCTGCTCTACTTCACCTCAAGCATGTCCACTATTAAGCTCTTTAGCTTCATGTGCTTAAAACCAAAAAGAGAAGAATATTTTCAGTCAGCAACATGATTCCAGAGCACTTACTGCATCTGCTTTGCAAATAGTGTTGGCCACGTGCCGACACAACGTCTTCAGCCAGTCCTCCTTGCGAGGCTCTTCAGTTGTCATCTGGAAACTGAGCAGCTTGTTGTTGAGTTCCGTAGGTGGCCGCACAACCAAGGCAAAAGCTTTCTGGCAGTCTACAGTTTATGAAAAAAAGCAGGGGGTTAAGACAGAGAATAATAAATTTTCACATAATTTAGGAAAGAACCTTCAGAAGGATTGACCCATCTGCCAGGAGCTGGAGGTACAGACAATGTGATTTGGTTGCAATGATTTTGTCTTTATTTACACAACAGCTGTTGTATCACTTGCAAGAGCACAGAGTTCTGTCCATAGTCATCACCAAGAGTCTGCAATCAACTGTTCATGCAACAGTTTATTCACAAAAAAATCTGCCTGCTCTAGACTGCAGACTAAGCAACCTCATGTTTACTACCTACCATCTTTGCCATTTCTTTTTTTAGTTGGGTTTCTATGTCCAGGTGCTTCAGAGAACACAAAGCAGAACACATGACATGCATATCATCACTGACAGTGAAACACCGAATCTTTCTTTCTAGGGTATAGATCTAGAAACTGCTCTGACTAGGCTTCTTTGTAAGTTGCTATTCAAGGCTGGAGCAGGATGGCAAAGGAAACAGAGAAATCAAGTCACCTAATTCTATCTTTTAAGGTGCCAAGCACAGCTCCCCCTGAGCATTATCAGCACTAGTTAAATGAAAATCTGGTTTCACACCAACAGCACTTGTCTCTGGCCAATCTAATGCTCTGGGCTGGAGTTTGGGTTTCTGTTTTGTAAATCCAGAGCTGTCAAGCGTTTAACTGTATAACTCACCCTGCCATTTGGTTGTCTTACTCTAAGGCCATCTGCCAAATTCAGTTGCAGTGATTCTTGAAAAGCCAAAAGGTATCAGTGCAAGAAATTCTCAAGCTCACATAGAACTTCAAACAGAAGCTTTACTAAAATCACATACCTAACATACCATACAACAAATACACCTGCATTCTATCCCACAGCAGCTGAGCTTCATCCTTCATACTCTGTAACAGTTTTCATTAGCTACCACAGCACTTCAAAACACACAGACCTTCTGTCTCTCTGATGTCCAGGACTTTCTTGATCTGGGAGAGGGGCATGAGAACAACATGCTTGAGAGATGCAGGAGGCCTCGTGTGGCCATGTGGACTCTTGAAAGCTCCAATGACTTTATGCCGTTTCCTCGCGATCTGCAGTTAAATAGAAGAGAAGGAGTCAGAGCTGGAAGATCTCTTGGCATTACTTCCTTTTTTTATTCTTTTACCTTCTACTATACAGAAAGGCACAGAAAATCTTGCTACTGAGAATATTCTAAAGATTATTTTACTCTATTTACCACATAAGTGAATTTCTTTAATATTTATCTCACTATTCACTGTCTACAGTTCAAGTGATCCAACAATATTTGTAACTTAACATCAACCCACTCAGCTGAAAAATAAAATAAATTTAAAAAAAAAAAATCTAGAGGGGAAATAATTTTGCACTACAGACCTCTATTCTACCCTGCATAACAAATAAGGGCCCTTTGAAATCTAGCACAAGGAAGTCTAGATTTAAACAGAAAAGACAACATCTATATGCATGAACCATTTTAAGATGTGATGTGTTATGTTCTAGAAACATCTGTTACTTATGCATGCAGACATTGAGTGGGCTTTGTGGTGGAGGTTGGTCATTTTTTAGTTCACATAAAAAAACATGCAAGATAACTGTGTGATAAAGTAAGGCATCTTCAGTTGCTTGTCTCTTGTACAAGAGACAAGCCAAGAAGCTTTAATAAAAGTGGGTTTATTTTCCTTTCCTTCCCTTACAAAAAGCAATAAAGCTGAGTCAACTTGACTCCCAGGAAGGGTTCCTCACTAGTCACTACAACAGACTTTTGTCTTCAAGTGCTGTTTAATACAGCACTAATTTTGAATTATTTTAGAGTTGGTCTTTTATAAAGACAATGTTCTGCTGTAGACAGTAACAAGAACTTTCATAAGGTGTTCTTTACAACTTCAGGTTTCTCCACATGACTCTCCAAAACCCAGTTAGATTACTTTTCCCTCTAGTTCCTCCTACTAGAAGAGTAGGATTTTCAGTGTAAGGCATTTAATATCTATTTACTTCCATTAAATATGACTAAACTTTAAAAAGACAAACAATCTGCTGAGCCAAGGACTCCAGCACTTTTTCATCCATTGGTACTACTCAAAGTCCTCTTCAGATAAAGATTTATTTCTTCACATATTAAGTTGCTTTTATATTTTTGCTCTGGCTGAAAGACATTAAAGGTTACATTAATACCTCTCAACCATTCACAAATGACTAGCTACTTGTGTTGGCTTATACAATTGCTAATAGAAAGGCACATGTTAAACTATCTGCAATCTGTGACTTCTACTTCAAAGGTTCTTAAATTTTACCTATATATATTCATGTGTAGTGTCAAACCTTTTATAACTCAGTTCATGAGAGGTACTTATATAATCATCTTACCTCTAGGCAGTCGTTGAACAGAAAGAGTGTGACCTGTTCTCCCCTGTCACAGAGGTCATCACCAAGTGCTACGGTTTCCAAACGCTGAACTAAGCTTCGGTGAGAGGACAAGAGATTGGCCTGAGTGACACAAGCAAAAATCTCATTAAGCACTTAGTTCAAGGGCTGGATTACTGCTTGCTTACCGCTTAACACTGGAAATCTGTTTAAACCAGCACCACTGCATTGTAACCTCACTCACTTGCACAAAGGGAGCAAAGAAGTGCGTGGTCATTTCACGGGTTTGCAGCTTCAGAGAAGTTACTTACCGGACATCCATCAACTTCATAAACAACATCAAAGAACTGTCTTTGTGCCTCTGTTTTTCTTTTGTCTTCATTAATATGCCTAAGGAAAGCATATTATATTTATCTTCAATATCAAGCAACAGTAAGTGAATGTACTGCATTTCAGACATACAAAAGTAATAAAGCTAATAAAGCTAAACATTCAGAGATAGTTTACACAGCAGCACTGAAAAAAACAAAATCAGCCACACTAACCCAAATGCCACACGTAAGCACAGAGGAAACTTCAGACCTACAACAATATTCTTGTCACATTACCAGCAGCTGACCATCCAGTTAATACAGAATTCCCCTCCCATGTCCTGTAAGATTTGAACCAGAGACTGATACAATGCAGTTCTTTGCAGCCTGCATTTTATCCTCCCAAACAGGACTTCAGTTCACCAAGCAGCAGATGTAAGAATAATTGCAATTTAAAAGTTGTTGTAGTTAAAACTGGACATTTACCCAATTAATACAGGAGGTCTCACTTCTGGAGATGTACACTACACTTCAGAAGAGCTGAGACTTAATCTGAACAGCTTCAGCTTTAACCTAATTAATTCAGGGAACAGTGCCAAGAAGAGCTAATACAGGACTAGAGGAGAAATTAATCTCCCACCAGTAGTGTGTCCTGTCAGGGGATACAGGCAGAGAAGTAAGATGTAAAGACAAAACCCATCTCTTCCATTCTGGAGGGAACAGATAGAAATAAGAGTTGGAACAGAACAGAGGACTCAGGAGGTTCAGCTCCCATCTGAGGCAGGGAGTCAGCAGAGGTTCAGGTACAAGTGCTGAGTAACAACATAAGACTCCTACAGAGCTCTGGCACAGAACACCAAAGTAACAACAGGGGCCGAAGGGAGGCTGAAGAACAAATACAGTTATGTTTACTTAGTGTTACTTATGGCAACAAAACATTAACAGCAATTTAGAAGGAACAGAGATATCAAAATGCGTAACAGTGCGTTTTTATAGAATGAGCACAACTTACGTCATCACTTCCTTTAATGATTCAATAGCTCTCTCTAGAGTTATTTTATCTGGGTTCTCTTCTGCTGTGTGTTTCTTAATATCTACAATTAAAGAAAAAAGAAACAAATAAGAACTCCTCCCACGTTACAAGTGCCTGAAAAGAAATACAAAAAACTCAGGTTTAAATTGTAAGTCAAATGAAATGACTGAAGAAATCACATCTATCCTGGAGACCAAATAGCTCCAATGAAATGGGGAACTAGGCTGAGCAGCAATTGTCTTGACATCTCATTAAGAAAAAAAACTATATACAACACAAAAACCAAACCATCAAGCTATTCAAAATAAAAAGAATCAAGTTGAAGTGCAGAGACAAACATAGAAGTCTTTTTGTACCTGAAGCAAAGGGTGATGGTATGGATTTTTTGTTATTATTTTTATTAACTTAATCATTGTTACAGCAAGTGGCTGATACCAGGTAGAATATACAAAACTGTAAGCCTTGCCAATATGAATTGCTCTCTAGTTTATGTTAGTTTCATTTGAATCTCAATTATATTCTTGTTTGAAGAGACAGAATTGTTGTCAATGCAAACTCTTCCTTTACCTGTATCAATATATCACACAAATATGTGAACAAATGAAATTTAGTCAAGAGAATGCTTTCTGCAGTAGTGGGTCTCACTGAATACCAGCAAGCATGATTAACTCACAGAATCACAGCTGTTTTGTACAAGAAGAGCAGTTGCTAATAATGACAAAAAGTAGACATTATCTTGGTTTTAACACCTTCACAGACAAATTAATAAAAATTACATCACTAGATTACCATTTAGTAGTAGAGCAACACTGGGCAGCCTTTGAACAGGACGGATAAGGAGTTCAGCCAGACTTTGGCGGCCACACTCAGGTTTAGCTTGATTTATCTGGGGAAAAGAATGGGCAGAAAGTAAGAATTATTTCCTTTTTTTAATTATTATTCTTACAGACACACACAAAAAAAGCACAAGTTAGGAGAAACTTTGTCTTCCTTGTAATTAGCATTGCTGTACGAGTTTGAGAATTGATTACCACAAATAGTCATTAACAGACAATGTTAAAAAGTACATTATGTTCAAAACTGGTCAGTGGTTTATGTTCTCAGTATGTCTAGTTTTAAAGTGTCCATATCAATCCCCTAGTCTTCATTTCAGGTGCTAATTGGAGTGGGACAAGGGATGGTCTCTTATTCATTCCCCATCTTCTAGATGTCATTACTTGGGATGCAATTCCTAGTCCCTCAGAAAACACAAGCTGAAATCTGTCAGTTTGATTACTTGATTATTTGAGAGACTTTTGGATACAGGAGTAAAAGCTACACTGCACTATTAATCAACTGTACACACATATCTGAAGAGCTCTAGAGTCTTAAGACTCATCTTTCTTTGAAGATCATCTTCCTGTTAGATCTCCACTGCTCGGCTCCTGTTCATTAATCACAAGAATGTTGAGAGATTCTACCTCCCTGGAGCTTCACAGCTGCCCATAGCAAGCTAAAAGCTACTTCAGAAATACAAGTCTTGCAAACACAGAGAGAACCTGTGAAAGCAGCAGCTCTAGTTATCTTTACAGAAAAAAGAAGGCATGTATTGGGAGGAACTGTTTCCAGCAACAAATGCATATAATCAAACTACCTTGAAAGCTGTTTAACTTATGAAGACCTCTTATGAAAGAATTTTGTGAGGAGCTTGAGAGATGGAAGTTCAAATCCTTCCTATTTCTGTGTCACCAAGAGACGTTCATATTCCTCCAAGCTTTCAAAATTTCACATTCTTCCATCTACTGCATTAAGCAGTACATGGTAATGGTCCCCATGTTCTACTTATAGACTTAGTTCTGCAGGCACTTACCTTTAGAAAGGCATGAAACCTTGGCTTCTGCTTTTCACATCTTGTAATAGTCTCTTTGCTCATTTCAAAGAAATTCACAAATGGAGGGTATGTTTTCAACAAGTCTTTTGACTGAAAGAAACAACTGTTAGGGCTCCGTTTTCCATATTATGCAGCATTGTACATATGCTCATATGCCCTGAGCCATACAAAGCTGCTCAAAGGCACATTTCAATAAAGAATAATAAAAAATGTGTTGTAAACCCATGCGTGCTCACAGAACAAGTTAAGACATTTTTGCATGCCAGATGCCCAAGATTCAGTGCTGCTGATTAAATGCAGACTGTTCTCAGAAGCATCAAGTATACATGTGACAATCTTAGATCCTGCTGGGCAGCTCAAGTGGAAAGCAGATTCTCACCTAGCAAGAGGTTTTTGGTGAGAATTTTGGAAGTTTCAGGCAGGTATTTTCTCCAGTTAATGCAATCACCTTTAGAAGACACCAAACCACCAGAAGCTATACCTTAGACTAAAAGTTTTTGAATGACAAGCACAATTGAACTCAAAATCATCAGGTCAACAAAATCACAAGATACCTAGCAGACAATTTATGTTAAAATGCAGTCCCACACGAGCTTTCCTGTTCTATGCATTCTGTACATGGCAAAACAAGGAGTCCTTATTCACTTGCACATTCCAAGTCTTGAAGAAAGAACATGAGAAGTTTTCGTGAAAAGCAATTTTCCTAGTTCTTTACTATTGATCAGAGGCAGCAGATAGCCGAGGGTACAGGAAGTGCCTTTTAATGTCTGAGTAAAACTCATGTCTGTAGCGTTGCAAATTATAGTTCTCAAACTGTAGCTATTCGTAGTTTGCTCATACCAGTGGACAGACACACATAATCCAGGTCAAGTTTCAGTGTATCATCTAACTCAACTGAAAAGGGTAAGCAAAAAATACAATGATACAAGTTGGAGTTTTTTCTCAGTAGTGCTCTTCTTGTGTTTGGTGGCTCCTACAAGTTTGTAAGGCAAGATAATAGTTCTAAGCATAAAAACAAGAAACAGGAACTTACATATTTAAGAATGATATCACCAATACTTTTGCTTTCAGTCCAATTTATCATAAGATCTTCCAGGTCTTCCTAGAATACATGCAGGAATGGGGGGGGTGGTGGGAAGAAAACAAGCTGAGCATGAACTGCACAAAACTGATGAACAGGATCAGTGTTCTGCCAAACACATACAATTAGGTGAGTTTTCATGCTGACAAAACAGACAGTCCTAAAAGCTGTACAACTTCACGTTCAGCCCCTCCAGTCTACTGAGGGCTTACTGAATATATAGTTCTAAATCAATGCAGGCAGAGCCTGGCAGTGTATCAGCACAAGCCAGCTCTGCAACAAGATGACACTGCTGCACTCAACACACAAGAGAACATATCCCAAAGGAATAATAAAAAAGGATACACAGAAGACAGTTGACCCAATTCTAATTAAGAGTGCACAACTAATCTAGGACTTTTAAGTCCATAAGATAGGATTGAAATAGAACTAGCATCAATCTCCTCACTTGCTACACCAGGGTGTCAAGGAAAGTGAGACCAAGCTGCTAAGCCTGTATCAGCTTGATAAGGATCAAGCTTATTCTCTGTCAGTTAATAACAGGAACAGGAGAACACAGCTGAAGGTTCAGGATTCAACTTAAGTGAAAAGGATTAATCATTAATATTGGTTTGTTGCTGCTCATATCTTTAGGACACCAAGGATGAAGGAAAGTACAACTACACTTAAGCAACTCTCCCTAGAGTGCATGCTGCAGGTGAATCCCACCTGGCACATGGACACACATGTTCTATTTTCATCTCAGTCTCAGTGGGCAAACATCAATACCCAGTGTGAGTAACCAGACTGGATCCCAGCAGTTGGAAAATAACCAACAAAAGAACTCCCACAAACAAACCACTGAGTTGCAGGAGGTCTGCAAGTCCCTCTATTTTAAAAGCCTACTGTGAAATGCAGCCAGGAACAGACATATGCCATGATTTGAAAGAGATGTTATAGATCCATATTTGAGGAAGATTTGCATCATAGTCTATTGTGGGACCCAGAGGTGGCTTCAGAGAGCACTTGCAATCCAAACCCAACTATAAAGAAACCCTCAAGAAAACAATCTTATAGGGAATTCTAATGAGATCTTGTTAGGTCTCAGTACCACCAGGTCAACTCTTTCAGAGGTTGAAGTCCAAGACAGTTTAATGGGCTGGTAGTTTCTGAGAATTGACTTAAAGCCACTTAAGGAGGGATTAGTATTTCCTACCAAATAACAGAAGTCTCCTTATGCGAACATACCTAAAGCCAAGGAAAACACCAAATTTTTGTTTTGTTGCTTTTGGGTTTTTTTTTCTTTTTAATTGCCTAGATTTAGCTATCCCTCCAAGAGTCCTTGCTTACAGCTTTAATAGAAAGGTACATGAGCATTTGTGAGTCAGATTACAATTTCATATTACTGGGCCTTTTGACCAGTTTTGTATCAGTTACAGAAAACCTCCTACAGAAAAAGGTATTGAAATGGGGAGAGGAGAAGCCAGCTCATGAATGTGTTAGTTACATAATATCAGACTTCAGATATTTTTTAAAAAGCATTAAAACTTAAAGAATACTTTAGATTTGCACGTAATTCCATAGGGTGAACAGTATGTAACTCCAGGTAGAATCTACACCTGTCCAGCAGATGCAACTGAAAACATGCAGAAAAGATTAAAAGTCTCTGTGAAAGTTTCCCCTGCAGGGGAGAAGTTGCAGCTTGCCTTGATTTTAGTGTGCACATCAAGAATATCTGGAATGCTGCCGAATATGGTCTTAATCTCTTCCTGTGCAAGGATTGGTCCCCCAAGTTGTCCTTCCTTCTCCAGTGGAACTTGAAATAACTGACGAATTAAGAGAAAAAACATTAATGCCCTCCCAACTGCCAAACACTGCCTTAGAAAGTTATAAAAGCAACAGTGTTTTCCTTCCAGATCAAAATTTCCTGCAGTCACAAGCTTGAGATGCCTCCACTTAGCCAGAGTGGGTTATGGAGGAGTGGTTTTAAGATAGAAACATCTAGTTTGATATATTGCTACAGCATAAGCCCCTTTCGTCTCCTTTTCTACTCACACACATCTTGGCTCGTTCTTTAAGCAGATAATCAGCTGCAATGCAAATAAACTGTCAAGAAATTAAGCTCTTCCTGTAAGCTGCTTGCTATTATGCCCTTCTTGAAATAATTTTAAAAAAAAAGGTTTCCCCCCCTGCCATCTCTCTCTATTCACTAATATCTAAAATATCTGAGTTGTGAAGATCCTATTTTCCCAACACTTGCAATTTCCATATAAATTGCAATTCCACTGCAGATGCCAGATTAGAAATTGCATTTTCCAACTCCTATTATTAACAGACACTAAACACTTTTATGTTTGAAAAATTACACGAGACTGTTTACACTGTCATTTTTCTACGAACCTTTGATGCATCCAAGACCCCCCCCAAAAGCCTGGAGATCACAAGTTGAAAACACTAATTGATGTGAACACTGGATGTCTTACCACAGTTAACCTGGACTTGCTTTAAAACCAGCTTACCTGAATGATTGTTGTTAGAATATCAACATAGTTACTTTCTGTCTGATACAATTCCTTTGCAACCTGCCATCTTGCAGACTGCTTTAGTGGAAGAGGAGTTGAGTTTTTGGAAGGCCTTGCACAGGATTTTGGTGTTTCTGATGAAGAGATATTCCCAAAAGAAAAGAGAGCTTTATTACAATAGAGTCCCTAAAAAAAGCTCAGCCTCAAAGACGAGAAAAGACACTTTTCAGAATTTTTAAGTGAAGATAAGTTTGTTTTTTTTAAAAGGCTATTTTGTAGATTATTCTATAGTTATCAGGGCCCTTGCTAGAAAATGGTTTTCTTTATTACAGTTTAATTATAGAACAACAGTAATATATTATTCCTCAAAAGTAGACTGAAACTAATAAGCCATTTACGGTCAGGTCAATAACTTGACCATATTATTAGTACTTCATTTAGTAGGAAGTGATGATTAGGTGCTGAACATTATTTACCCACACACTACGTGCAAAAGTACTCTCCTACTTTCACTTTGTCACGAGAACAATTGTCTCTCAGATGCCTACCATCCTTGCATGAGGTGTGTATCACAAAACCTTTTATTAAAATCAGTCCTTCCATGAAACACATCTCATGTGTGAGGGAAAGACACAAGGAGCTGTTCATAGCTTTTAAATGCATATTCGTGTATTGGACCTCACAGACCTTTACTGAATTTTTTGGATATCAAAGTTCCTTACTGTCACAGTTACTATGAAATAAGTACCTTACCTGTTGCTTCCAAAATACCACATTCTGAGACTGTCTGCTGCTGCTGGATTAGAAGAGAACTCCATACCAGGGGTAGTAAGAGTGCTAGTGTCATCTAAGGCTGATCTTTCCTGAGTTCCTTCTGAATTATTACTTACAGGTTGTGCCTCATTAAGAGTTCTTATTTGATTTGATTTTGCCTTTTTAAGGCAGTAGTAGCTCCAGATAACTCCTCTCTGTGATGGAACTGGGGCTTTTTAAAACACTTGGGTATTAGTATTTGACTAATCCGAAATTCTGCAGTTCCTCTCTTCCACAAGAACCACATGTAGAGATATTAAAACTTTGTCCAAAAACCAGTTGATTACTTATATTCGTGGGAAATTTTAAACATGATAGTTTGCTGGCACAAATAGTGTTACCTCAACAGAACATTTCAAAGACCTAGGAGTGGGCTCTGCAGGAATTTTCCCTTTAGTTCCTTTACAAAAGAATCTTTGTCCTCCTTCCTCCAAGTATCCTACTGGAGAGTATTTTAGATTATTTACTCTTGACTACGTTGCTTATTTGCTACAGACTTCCAGCAGAGTATTTGAAGCATTTTGGAATAACACTGGACTGTACTTCCTATTTATCAAGTCTATACCTTTTCCTTCAGATATGAATGTGCTTACTGTGATGACAAGAGGCCTCTGGTCTGAACTTTTCACTCCAATTCTTTCTGCACACTTCAAAAAGGCAAAGCCTGGAATTACTCAGCAAATCTTTAGCAAAACCTGTAAGACTTCCCTTCCACTACCATTTCCACTTGTATGCAAGAGCTCTTTAACATTCTGTGTCTGAATGGCAGTTTTTAGCTCTACCTCCATCGGTGGTGCCTGACTCTGGAGTGTTGGAAATATCCAGCAAGGACCCAATGGAGAGTGAGTGTTCAGCTGAGGGGCGTTTCCGGGGAGGGAACGGGGACACGTCTGTTTCCCTGGTCAGTTGTGCAAGAGTCTCCTTCAAACGGCGCCTTTTGCGGTTGCTGTTTGGAGTGTTCAGGGAAAGCAGAGACACAGACTTCTTGAAGTCAGGACTCTCTGACTGCAGGAAAAGAAAACTCAGTTTAGTGGTTTTATCCACTGTGTCCAGTTCAACTCAGTGCAAAGACAAGTTAATTGCAGAGATCAGCACACAACACAAAAAGAAACTTCTTAGGAGAAGCTGATGGAAAATGAGTGAAGCCTGGGTTTTTTTCCCCCCTTTTTATACTCAAAACCACAGTAGTTATCTTGTTTGACTTCCCACCTTTGGGAAGCAGAAAAAGGTTTTTTCCAAATTATCATTCTATGTATAAAATTTCTAATGGATTATCTGGAACTTAAATGCTGCACTGAAACATCTGATCTCTGGCCCCACACATACTACTGTGCATGCTAATTTTACCACCAAATACATTGTGGAAGAGAGTTCAACATACCTTCTCAAATAAATACATGGACTCTCCAGCTCTGGCATCCATTTGAATGCTTCCCCAAAACCACTAAAGGAAAAAGAAAACACACATTAAGAACACATTACAGAGCTTCACCCAAAGTTTAAAATATTCAAAATAGTATATAATAGTAACACAGTTGGTACAAGAGATATTTTTTCAGAATAAGCCACTTGTCTGCATTTACCACGTAAAGTACTGCACAGCAGGATTCTTTCGAGACTTTCCAGCACTAACCTCTTGCTTTACAACATAAAGTTTTCCTAAAGGTTCAAATGGAAGATCTTTTACTGTACTTTCTTCAACCACTAGGTGCGTACATCTTTCATCACCAACAGGTAAATAATGTCCTCCTAGATTAAAAAAAAAAAAAAAAAAGGCAAGTTAGCAAGAGCAAAAACATTATTGTTAGAAGTTAGTATCTCACTTGATGGTTCTGTGGCACCTATCATTATCATAAACTCCACCCCATTCTTCACACAGGTCAATTTTCATAAACAACCTTGCATTTCTGTCATTTCTTCCATGTTGGCTTTCTCATCATCAGAGAATCCCAGGAAACTTAACATGCAATCCTGGAAGGGAGGAACCTTGAACTGACTTCTAAAGTCATCATCAGCTGCACAGAAATCACTGAAAGAAAAAGGATGCACAAAAAAGACACTAAATCAGTGCTACAGCACTATTTTAGCAGAAGCTCACACACTGCAGGTGAACAGGATGCAAGGTGAAGGTTGAAGGAAAAGAAACACCTACATTTCATTTCTTTTCTCCCAGGCTTTATAAATCCACTCAGTTTTCATGATAGGAACACCAAGGCTTACAGCAATCTACAAAAGAGGAAAAGCATAAGTTGTACCAAGTATTTCCATTTAAATCTTTCCCATGTCAAGAAAAATTTGTCACCTTCCTTTTACTTTTCAAGACAGATACTGCAAAAAGCGAATATACTCCTTCAAGAATTATATCCAACTGCACTCCTCAGAGTTAGAATGTATGAATTCAGCGAGTAAGAGATCAGATCAATAGCTCTTTTGACACTTACTCAAAAGTGCACCATTTTGTTAGTCTGATATCCTTCATCACTCACAAAAACACAAAATCAAATCAATGTTCCAGGGGAACACGGGATCTCTTTTCTGCTTTTCATACTTTGTATGAAGACAAACATCCCAGCCTGCTTTATCAAAGAGAAAGGGACTCTTCCAAAGGTAACTGTCATGACAGATTGGAGAGTTTTCACACTTTTTTCCCTTTGAGTTGGTAGAAAAGAGTGTTTGAACAGAAAGTAGGACTTCTCTTCCAACAGGAAGTTTAAAAAGAAACTAGAAAAAAAGCAACAGCCTCCTAACAATTCAAACAAGGGAGAGCTAAGAGTCATAGACACTACAAAAACCTATTAAAATTTATTTACTTCTAAACCAAACATACATGTCCTGAAGGAGTCCCTTTTCATACCAGAAAAAGCACACTCATGTCTATTTATACATAAAAAGAAGACTTGAATCTTTATCCATGAGTTAAAAATCATTTTTAAAAGAAGTTAGTAGTAAAGTTTGCAAGTTACCTTGAAGTTTATTGTTTGGACAGACAAAAAAACAGACACGTTGATACATAAACACTTGTTCCTCAATGTTTTAAGTACTGGTAACATCAGTAGTTAAACATTTTGAATCTTGTTATTTATGATACTTGTCTATTTCCAAACCTGTGCATTCAGGCAAGAATGCAGAGAGAAAAATATGCCAAAGCTCAACACCAGATGGAGATCAACTCACCATTACAAGTTATTGCTGTTAGTACAGGAAAAAACAGCAGCTTAGGAGCTGAAGTATAATTAACAAACTCAGTCTACAATAGCCAAATTCCAAAAGTTTCCATGAACTCAAGCTTACATACTCTGAATTTGTCTCCATGTGTTGAGTTCGCCACCAGGTGTGTAACTTTTGAGCTGAAGTCCCTTCGAATAATTCCACCCATATGATGAACCAAGGTCACCAGCTTAACCTGAAAAATAAAGATGAAAGTTTTTGAGTATCTTTTGAAGAGTGAGAGCAGCATAAAAAGCAGTTTACAAAGCAAGCTACAAAAGATTACATTAAATGTCTAAGAATAGAAATACTCTGTTCTTAAAACAACTTGTTCACATCTGCAGGAGAAGATACAGTTGATATGTCAAAAGAACTATTAACGTCTCTTTTTATTTCAACATTTAATACAGTCTTGCTATGTTGTTTGAAGAAGACTGTCCAAGCCACCAGTATTTTCAGGATCATCACACATAATGCCTTCACCTTTTCACACATAATAGATTGGAAGCATGTTTCCCTCATTGATTTAGGGTTAGTTAAATTTGATCAAGAATTGACTACCACTAAGCATAGGTTTCTGTTTTGGGATTTTCTTTACCCCAAACAAAGACATGGAGCCATATTCCCCCCCTACAAGCTCAAGTCAGGGTTTACCCTATGGGTGATAGAACAGAAGAGTATCTTGAAAAGAAATTTGATATATAATTTTGCCAAATCAAAGAGAAAAAAAAAAGTCTTACTAATTCTTCTTTCTTTCTGAATCCTGTAAAGCACAGTACCAAGTTCAACATACTCGCACAGTACAGTGGACGACAGGAGAAAGGTAAAGGCTGAAATAAAAGGTAAGCTTATTAGTCAACAGCATACTGCTCCCTTTAAAGTTTTCACATTACCTTTAATACAGTACTGTTATTTCTAGCATTAAAAATGCACCAGACACTAGCCCAAGCGTTCAGTTATACCTCAGTTCCAGGCCTGTCAGTGTTCTGATAAAGTAACTAGAGCATCCCCAAGTTCCACAGGTAGCATTCCATCCTTTTATTTCCTCCCCAATCCATCTGCTCTACGTGACAGCTTTTGGACAGTGTCTGCTGGAGAATCACTTGTATGCTGCCTTTCCTAATAGCACAATCCCAACTGGTGGTCAACAACTCCCACAACTACTGCAGTAGCTGCAGCCTTACTGTCTGCCAGAGCTTACTCACTACATGAAATATTCTAACACAGAATAGGAAACTTGGTTTTTCTTAAAATTCTCTCACTAGGAATGCTTATGATTGATTAGAAAACAGAGATTTTATTTTGAACACTTAATATTTAGATCTCACAGCAGCAGAGAAGACTCAGCTGATTTCACCAGCCAGCACACACCTCTCCCTTCTGTGCACAGTGCAGTACGACCGGCGGTCCAATGACACGGCAGTCGGCTTTGCAAAGGTTGGGAAAGATGGAATCTTGGAAGTCTGATACAACGAAGACAGTCTCAAACTCTGGGGAATCAGAATCTCCAAGCTCTTCTATTGTGTCTGTCTTTATATAAGGCACTTTAATTTCCTTAATGTACAGGGATGAAAGAGAAAGCATTATTCAGGCAACAGACTTGCACTAGTGTCAAAATTCAAATGATTTTTACTTCGGCCCATTAGAAAAATGTATGATTTAGATTTCAGAGGCAGACTCAGGATTTGTGAAAGCTGAATGCACAAGAATATTATGCATAAGAATATCTCTAGCATAAGAATAGCTATGAACTGCTGAATGCTTTAAGATTGAATGTCTTAAAGCAATTCCTGTTGCTTTAGCAGTTTATGTATCAGTTCACATTGATAATATAGGATTGGAAATAGCCAGATAGAAAGAAAATCCCTAAGCTCAAAAGATAAATGAAATTTCAGACTGTCAGAACAGCTTAAGGTACTTTGGGATGCTACTAAAAAGTAGCACCCAACTTGCAACAGCAAGCTCTGCACTGCAGAACACCAGAAGAATGGAAATAGATTTTGTTCACTGCTTGGTATTTTAAGGGGTCTAAAAATTTAGTCCATTCCAATTTCAGCCAATAGTTAAATTTTTTTTTTTAATGTTTTTCACATCAAGAGACGTAGAAGCATTTCTCATACTTCAATTTAAATGCAGCTTTCAATTGAAAGAGAAGTCAATTGACAGTTACAAAGTCAGTTCATAGCAAAAACTTATGTATTGGCTGAATAAGAGCATGCAGTTGGATGTCTCCATGGATGGTTCTATCCCCTTGTTAAAAAACACCACTAGGTAAGAGCTGCAGGTATTATCTCCATACTTAAGAAAGTGTTTATAAAAAAGTGCTGTGACACCATGAGAAACATTAGCATATATTGTGACCACTGTGCCCAAATTAAAGCGTGTGCACACTTCAGTCCCAGTGAACATGCTGCATGCAATTACATGTGCTTAATTGCATGACATACCATATGGATAATACTTTTTATTAATTTTTCTTCTGATTTATCAGGACTAGTTTTCTTTATCTTTATAACAGGTACTTCCATTATCTTAATGCTCTGTGGAAGAGGAGAATTTAGTACAGAAGCAAACTGGTTACCAGAAGTGTAAAGGCATGACATGTCATTCCAGCAACTGTTTTATCTCAGACCCACATACCTCCAAGGCTTTCAGAAGCTCCTCACACTTCCCTGCTTCCTGAACCAAAACCACTCTTGTTTCTATTTGAGGCATTTCTTCTGTTTATAGAGAAACAAGGGTAATATTTGTGTTTAACAGAAAAATCCACGTTAATTCTAAACCAAGCAATAACATACAGAAGAAAACAGGCAGTCAGCATCCTGTCAAGATACCTTATTTATCAGGAACAAGCCTGACAATAAGTGTTACCTCAAGAAGTGTGTCCTTTAATTAAGACACACCCAATTGACTTACAGCCTAAACTTTCTAGTATGAGGCAAAACAATATCCTGTAATCTACATCCAGTTACCTTACAGTCAAACCCAAAAACTTACTGACTTAATGATTCCAGCAGAATTAGATACCAAGACTTGCTGGCAAACAGATAGCTAGTATCTTTGTTCTTTGTCTCCATGTATTAACAAGCCTTCAAAATACTAGAAGGAAGGGACAAGCGTTGCCTCCATGTCATTTGCACCAAAAAACCTCCACTAAATTTTGGCTACTACATTGTAGGGAAACAAAAATATCTGTTGTTGGTTTATTAATTTCAAGAATTGCTTTTGAATTAATTTCAGGCTCAGGACTATTAATCTGTCTGCCTCATAATACCTATTAATCTGCTTACCTGTACACAACAGAGCAGCTCTAGTTTCCAAACACTGGTGTCAAAATGCCACCTGGAATGATTTATTCCACAGAAGAGGCATCAAATGGAACTGACAGCTTTCTGCTCAACAGCCAAAAGACTCGCTTGATTTGGGCTGTAACCCCAAATTTTTATAACAAGATGAGTTAAAAAAATAAGACAGTCCCTTTGTTGATGAAAGGATACCAGATCAGCACCCTTCTGGCTACTCTACATTTCTGGAGCTCAGGAAAACACTTTTGGTTTTTCAAAACTACAAAATACCTACAAAGTAATCAATCATCACAGTCTTAAAATAAGCTTCCCCCATTACCTTCAACATCCAAAACAGACCCAGTAAACACATTGTCTTTGGAGGTTTCTATAATTTTTGAATCAAGAACAGAAGAATCAGCCAAGAGGCTCCTCCCGGTCTCAGACACCAGCGTGCTGTTGTCAGCCATGATTATGCCTTGCTTCTCTCTTCAACACCTGGAAGGCAGAGGGGCTAAACTGAGTTAAAACTGCAAAAAGCTCATCAATAAGAGTCCTATTACTCAGGCAGTCAAGAAGTAACCTCAGAAAACAAAACAGACTATTACTGAACTCCCACTCACATTGATAGAGAAGTTCTGAAAGAGCATCAGGAGTCACACAATTGATAAAGGACCGACAACACATCTGCTACAGAAATGGTTCTGTAATTCATTTGCACAGAGAGTTGCAGAGTAAATTCAGATCTAAACAGCAGGGAAGCATTAACTAGTGTTCATTTAAAAACATTTAACCACAAAGCATCAATAAAAGCATTTGTTCCCTTCAGTGACAAACTATTGTAAGCTAAAGCTGAGACCAAGATTAGCATTGCTGAAATGAAACATTAGCAGAAGAATTAAGGCAGGCAAAGCATCTTGCTAAAATTTGATTTTTCAGGTGAACTGGCCAGAGACACTGCAGGTAAAAATGAGCACCCAGAGAGTAAAACAGCACTATTTTACTCACAGAAAAATTAAAAATGCATGAGAGTCTCTACAAAGTTAATAAGCATATACATGTCTATCTGTATAGTCTAGTCTATTGTTCTACATTAACTGTAATATAGTAGAAGTATCCATTGTCAGATAAAGAAGCTTTTCACAGACACAAAGTATCTGTGCTCTCCCTGCCTATCAAACCTGTCACACACTGAAAAGGCAGAATTCTTAATCCTCTCACATTTTGTGCAGGTACCCACCTGAATCTTGTACCAGAGAGTTTGCTCTAAGAGACCTGCCCAACATGCAGCACATTTTCTCTGGCACGTGAAGCCAACAGGCTGCATTTCCTGTGATTCATCACATACCTAGATTTCAATATTTGCACAGTGATATCACAGGTTATCCACACCAGCAACTGCAGCTGAACTGCTGTCGCACAATAACCCTTTGTAGCGTTTTAATTGAAGTTGCAACACAGCAACCACCTAAAAGCTACATAAAAGCACTGCCTGAAAGAGGATTCTTGAGGTAGGAAAACCCCTGGAGAACAGCACATGCTATTTTTCGAGTTGTGTAATGACCATCCTATTACACAGCAAAGTAAGTCAGAAGAGCAAAAAGAAACAATGGGCATTTTAGCATAATGGCAATACAGTAAAAACTCTTCCAGAGTGTAGGAGATCACATTTGGGACTCTTGGAAAGGATTCACGTCTTCACAACACCAGTAAGTTCCTAATACAGTGATGAGCAATAAGTCAACACCACAAATCTATCATAATTCGAGACAAATTCAGTTACCAAATTTGCCATCTTAGCTTCAATTTTGAGGTCCCACAGAGCTGTGCAGGCTCCAAGGAATTAAATTTCCTTAATTAAGTCCCAGTCACCCACCTCAGAACAGCTTAAGACAGAGCAAGAGGAGAAAGCAACCTTAACCATAAAGTCTTTTAGGATCACCTGTCCAGGTTATAATGTTACCACCAGGAACTGTTGTACAAATATATCTTTGGCAGTAAGGGCAAAGGGACACATAATCTTGGAAGATTCACACCATGTTGTTAATAATGATTACCAACAGAAGAGTTATATGTGAACTCAGACAAAAACAAACCCTCTAGTTAAGGCTACAATTAAACTTAAATCCTAGGGATTATTACTTAAAAGTCTGACACATCAGTACGGTTCCTATTATGCTGTTATTGTTATATCAAATAACTTGTATACAAACTTACAGAGAACTTCATCGTATTTTTGGGATAAGCCCATATTTTGGGCTGCGCAGTGATTTTCTTTATTGCTTTTCCAATTTATTTATAAGGTTCCCTCTGGGTGTATTTTAAAAAATACTCCTTGTTTTAATGGTCACATAATAACTAATAACGTTACACTGGTCACTAAACTTAAGGACTGAAGGTGCCAGGGCACAAAGGAGAACAAACAGCACACAGAGACATGAACACAACAGTTTTCCCTCACATGAAGAGCGAAAGTCAGAACGCCATCACTACAGGATGCAGGCAGACAAAATGTTCTCACAGCATCGCACAGAAACCACCGCCCCAGAGCCTGTGGGAGGCCTGAAGGCCACACAACACCCGCTCACCAAAACTCGTTTGTTAAAAGAAAAATAGGACATTGAACACCTCCCACGCTGCCATTTCCCTCCCGAGGAGCCGCCCAGGAGGTGCCCGAGCCGCTCTCTCGGCAGGTGCCGGCGGGCTCGGGCCTCCGCTCCGCCCGCAGGGAACCTCCTGAAGGGCCTCGGAGCGGCGCCGGGACCCCGAGGCCTCACAGGTGCCCGGGACACCGGCCCTGCCCAGGCCGCCCGCACCCACCACTACCCCCCACACCGGGCTCGAGTTCGAGCTCACCGCCGGCGCCGCCCGCTGCAGTCCGCCATGAGCGGCCGCCGCCAATTCAAAAAGCGAGCCGCCGCACTCACGGTGCCACCCATTGGCTGCCGGTCCCCCCGCCCCTCTGTAAGGCGCCATCTCATTCGCCAGCACGGCAACATGTCCCGCCTCCTCCCCTCCCTTTTCGGGCAGCTCTCCCTCTCAGATTGGGCGTTGCACCTGCCGCTCACACTGGACGCGCTCCCATTGGTGGTGGGAGGTTGCCAGGCGGACGGGCAGTACTTGTTGCGGTACCGAGCGCAGGTCGCTGAGTGGGCGGGGCGGGGACACGCTGTGCTCTGATTGGCTGCTGGGGTGTTTGAACGCTCCCAACGGCTGTGCTGAGAGACCCGGATGCAGCGAGGGGGGGGAAGGGGCCCCTCCCTCAGCCCAACCCAGGGCACCAGGCGAAGGTTACCGTGGACACCGTGAAAACAATAGTGCTGTTAATAAATACATAAAAAATAAAAAGGGGTTTGGGTGTGCATCTGAGTTTCAGAATAATCAGTTCGTAGGAAACAGGTGCTGCTGGGGGCGGAGGAAATAAGAGTGGTCAAGGTGAAAATCAACCCGCTGTCTCTATGGCACCAACCACAAATAAATTAAATGTACCAAATGCTTTAACTGCCCTTTTATTGTCAATTGTTCCTGATGCTAAAGCTTACTGGTCCAGAAGGGAATTTTGTCATGGGGCTCAGGTTTAGCATAACATGTCACTGTCTCGATGTAAAAACAATGAGAGAGAGATTTTCTATTTCTAGAATTTTCGATTATATGTCAAATTGAGTTCTTAGATCCTACGCTCTTTTTTTTATTATTATTAGTCTATACTACAGATTCTTATCAATTCAGCCGTTTCCATGACTGATTCAGCAGCTGTAAAACTCCACTGACTTTTTACTATTTGGAAGAAAAATGGAATAGGAAAAAGCAGAAGGAGATGATAAAAGGTGTTGTTTGTGTGAATAAAGATTTGCTGGTGATGTACATGTAAATTAGGACTACTTTCCTGAGGAAAAGATTTCAGAATAACAGCCTGGAAACTGAGGAGGTCATTCCAATGCTGACACAAGTCAAATTATTACACAATCCTACACTTGCTTTATTTCATACTGAGTAATTACAACAATGATTTACAGTCAAAATACAGCCTGACGTCCTTTTGTCACCTTTAAGCTCTCATATGGGCCATCGTTTTGCAGTTCCAAGCCAGGCCAGCCTTCACTGGCTTTTCCTGTTCTCTTCTTTCTCTGCACTCTTCCAAAGTCCTTTTCAGCCAGGTGTTCAGTTTTTCCCACCCCTGAAACCAGAAACCATGTTTCTCCTAGGTTTGGAAAAAGTTCTGCAGTACAGGAGTCAATGTCACTTTTGCAATATAGTTTCTGGGAAAAGATACTGGTGATTGCACATTGATTTCCACTTTACCTCTAGATCTTAAAAAAAAAAATCTATACAAAGTTTTGCATGTGCAAAGGCAGGAGAAGCATACTTATCAGGGCTGGAGATTGTCAGATGATATGTGTATCACTTCTCAGTTAAAGGTTTACAGAAGAATTTAAGTGATATCCAAACATTCAGTACATAACTAGAGGCTCACTGTGAATACAGGGGCTCACTGTGCATACAGGGAGGGACTTGCATTAGCCATTTTTTGAATACTCTTGAAAATCCAGAATTATCTCAAAACCCAACTGGGATATTCTGGTGAACTACCTTAAGCTGTCCTTCCTGGGACTGACAGAACTTTTAGGAATTAATCACTTAAGAAAAGTGACTGTTTATGGTTTGGGTTTTCGTTTATTTAATTTTTTTTTTAATCTAGTGCATTTATTCTCCCAAAAGATCAGATCAGGACTGATGACAAAAATAATTACTATTTTTTATATGTCTGACATTTGAAAATCTAAGTGCTTTTCTTATAAAAGGCTCTGAAATGGAAACACCCATTATTTTGTGTTTTGTAAACTGTAACATGCATCTGAAACTTGCTCTACCTTCCAGTTAGGTAGGCTTCAGTAACCTACGAGTATAACTTTTATTTAGTAGTTAAATAGTTTCCCCTTGCAGTGACACCCACAGGGAGAAAGTTTCAGGAGATTAAGTCAATAAATGACTCCTGTCACAACAGCAACATCGCAGCAGGGATCTCATACTTGCGGAAAAAGTCAAGGAGGCCACATCAGAAGAGCTGATGGAACACCTGATGGTTCCTAGATATCTTGCAAGCATTCTCATGTTTAATTTATATATTTTATATATTTTTTTAAAAAGTAACCTTTCCCAAACCACAGTGGTTTTTTTCTTTGTTTGTTTTTTTACCAAGTGACTTCTTTATAAGCACCTGGAAAACAAAGAGCTATCGACTCAGTTCAGCCAGAGCAGCAGCTTTCAAAACGTGAGGAAGGGGAGAGATCAAGCGCAAGATGCATGTGGGGGGTCAGTGGGAGCATGAGAAAAATCCCATCCAGCCTTCTCTCTCTTTTGAGGAGATAAATAGATGAGAGAGGACTGGGACTAGACCCAGTTTTGCCAAAGGTTTGGGAACAATGAGACAGGCACCAGTTATTACACTCTGGGATGCTGGGTGTGGGCTTTAGGGGCAGGAGCTTGGGAAAGCAAAGGAATGGGAGCATGCAAAGCAAGGGAGGCAGGGGAGCAAGGCACAAGGTAAAAGAGAAGGTGTGGGCACAAAATAATACAGAAAGGGACAACTTGGTATAACAAACTGGAGATCTCAGGAATCTCATCTTGAGCTGCTTTCTTGGCAAAGTTTGTTTCTTCACACCTGTAGTCTACTCAGACCATGAAAATCACAGAAACTCCATCTGCTGTTGTTATGAAAAAAGGTTAAAGATGCTTGAGTGTCTGATTTCCTCCCAAATTCCAGAAACTTTCTTCTGCAACCTTTAGAATCAGCGAGGTGGTACTTCAATTCCAGGAAAGCTAGACAAAAAGCTGACCTTTTACTTCTTAGAAACATATTTTTCTTTTATTACCTTTTCATGTCAATTTTTAAAGGAAACTGTGCTTTCCAGGACTCTAAATAATTTCTATGTGACTTTTTAGTATTATGAATTCATTTTTTTAAAGCAATGTCATTGTTAAAATTAGTGCTCATTCCTTTTTCTGCATTACATTCATAATGCACATGAATCTGGGTATTTAAATAAATATTTTAATTTGCTGAAGGTAGAACTGTGACTAAGTAGAGATCTGTGCGAAGGCTGAACTCTATAGTGTTTGGGATGAGAAAGACTTGTTTCAAAATTTTTTCTTGTTTTAGGTACAAGAAATGTTCCTGCATTAAACCCAAATTTGTTACTGACCCAGGATTAAAATAAATAAATAAACCAACAAATTCCCAGTCCTAAAACAAAATTACAAAATAAACATACATTAAAAAAAATAATCTTTCTGGAATTGTTTTGTGATGTGTCAGATGAGAAACAGTATGGTTTCTTCAGCTAAAATAAGGGTGTCCCTGAGTTCCTCCTGGAAACATGCAAGATTTGGGATCCTCACGGATTGACTTGAATTGATTCCCATTGCCTTCCTCTCACCTTCCCAGCCTCTGGGCTCAGTGGACTAGGGCCAGCCCTGCCTGAACACTGATGCTTCTGCTCTCTGCTGGCAAAAAGCTGCCACCATGCTCGTCTTCGGGTGCTACAACCCCTAAAAGTGGAAAATCAAGGCCAGCTTGGACGAGGATCTGATCAAACTGGTCTAGTGGAAGGAGTCCCTGCTCATGGCAGGGAGGTTGGAACTAGAAGACCTTTAAGGTCCCTTTCAACCCAAAACATTCTGTGATTCCATGAAAGTGGTGGGGTTTGCTTGTGGGTTCGGCTGCTGCCAGGTCAGTCTTCCCAAAGCCACTTGGGTGCTTTTGCCAGCCCAAGGTGGGCGATGGGCTGTGGGTTTGGGTGTGGGTACAGAATCACAGAATCAGCTAGGTTGGAAAAGACCTGTAAGATCATCAAGTCCAACTTTTGACCTAACACGACCTTGTCTTCTAGACCATGGCACTAAGTGCCACATCCAGTCTCCTCTTAAATACCTCCAGGGACATGTGAATCCACCACCTCCTGAGCAGCCCATTCCAATGTCTGATCACTCTCTCTGTAAGGAATTTCGTCCTAATGTCTAACCTAAACCTCCCCTGGCACAGCTTAAGACCGTGCCCTGGTTGCCTGGGAGAAGAGACCAACTCCTACCTGGCTTCAACCTCCTTTCAGGGAGTTGTAGAGAGCAATAAGGTCTTCCCTGAGCCTCCTCTTCTCCAGGCTGAGCAACCCCAGCTCTCTCAGCCTCTCCTCATAGAACTTGTGCTCTAGTCCCTTCACCAGCCTCGTTGCCCTTCTTTGGAGATGCTCCAGCACCTCAATATCCTTCCTGAAATGAGGGGCCCAGAACTGGACACAGTATTCGAGGCGCTGTGTCCAGTTCAGGGCTGCTCAATTCAGGAAGGATATCGAGGCGCTGGAGGCGTGTACGAGGTGTCAGGAGCGGGTGCGTGGTGTCAGGAGGCAGCACTGCAGATGCGGATGCCTTTGCTGTCCGTGCGTGCGATGGAGTAGCTCTAGGAGCCCACGCCTCGTGTATCTATCTGCACATCCCCTTCCCGCGGGG